ATATATATATATATATATATATATTGTTTTAATATAATATCTTGTGACAATATTATTACAGGATAGATATATATATTATTACAAAAATAAATCTGTTATATTGTGTAGCAAAGTTGCAACATTTATAAAACCAAATGCATTCAACGGTAACAAAAATAGTATATATATCTACATACATTAACATATTTACCATGCTTGTTAAGTACCAGTTTCGTACAATGCGATGGCGGCAAATTTATCTAGAGGCCAGTACGACTCGATATCGTTAAGATATACGATCGTTGACAGAATTGCAACATACCGATCTACAGCCACATTAAAATTGACACATTAGGCCATGCTTAAAAGATCGTTTCAACAAACATAAATCATTAGTGCCATTTTTAGGTGATCGGTTGGCTACCGGAATAATTACTAATAACGAGCTCGAGTGTTTTTGGAAGTTGTTTTCCGTGTAAGATTGAGCGAGTCTTGTGTGAGTAATGAAAAAGTTGCTTTTTGGCCGATTAAAATTAAACTGCCAGCGAGCCGGACGGGCAATGAAAGCTTTTAAAAGAAACGTTTAAAAGCTAATAGGAAATTTCCGCCTGCCATCGCGGTTCATACACAATACATATAGACATGTTGTTCCATTCTAGTCTACAAAACTTCTTAGTCAACGTACAAATGCCGCCCCGTAAGGCAACAGATCGAGGGGACCTGTCCGAAACATAAGATCCACAACACGTAGAGTACGCTCACACATACGCATATATATGACCCCTTGCGTGAATTGTCAAAATGTCAGGGCATTGGTATAATGTGCCATCGTTTTGTATGTTATTATTGCGGAAATAATCAAAAGTTTCACTGAATCTGATACGTTGATAAAGGCAAGCATTTATAATACACCTGGATTCGTGAAATTTTTGTTATTTTCGTACAGGTACGTGCATTCGTGCGTATCTAACACTACGGGCTGATTTGTGCGTGCAAACATATATATGAGCGTAGTACTGAGCGTATGCGGACAAACAAATACACACGAATCGTACTCAGTCGGTTATCGCGAAGTCATTACGTACCCTGCCATTTCTATGATGCTTACAAACATTCTAGTTTTTATAATAATAGGTACGATCATCAACTTGTAGACGCTTTTGTTAGCGATTAATAACGAATGCTCGATATGGTGAAAGTACTTCTAAAAGGTGGTAAAGCGTTCATGTTAAGCTTCCCTGAAAAATTGTCTCTAGCTGGCCCAAAATGCATCCGGTGACGTTGTGTCTCCTGTTTTTGGTTTGTTTACAGACGGATACAATTGATGAAGCATATATTTACTTTATTTGACACAATTTTGGACACCCCTCTTTCTATAAAATACAAAACACTCATTCGTCTCAATTGTTCAGCGTAGACGCTCGCCTAACTGCAATACCCACTTTTAAATTTAATATTTAGGCTTACAAATGTACATACAAGGTATACGTCACTATCGATTAGGACCGCCCATTAGCGCATTCTCAATGCCTAGTTGTCTGTGTAATAGACGGCAAAACGAACATCGTCATGGGGTCGCTGAACCTGTTTGGTACTGAGGAAATGAACAAAACGAGCCTCCATTGACCTAAACTAGGCAAACGATTGCGGCAATAAATCCAAATGAAATCAACCGGTCAAATTTAAACAATGGATACTGTTCATCAAAAGGATTATTGGGACGTTTATGAAGGACTCTTCGTCTTAAGCAATGGCTGAGTTGCTACAGAAATAGCAACCCATAGGTACTGACTGCTCCGTTCTGTTCTTCGCTATGACCATCATCGAACTCGTTCTCCATCAGCGACCACTGCGCGATGTACAATGAAGGTTACGATGGTGCTATGGGCCGCAATTTGTGTGATACCGCAGATGTGACTTAGGCTGTACGCCGCCGGATCAACTCAATTAAATGTAATAAAAATATCAATAATAACAATAACAGTACAGATAATCGGTCGGTGAGCATAACAGTATAATTACGTAAAGAATGAATGTTAGATGAACAACAATACCGATAGAAGATCCATAAACCTATTGATCGGGGAGCTCCTCAGGCGCCTCGTCCTTTTCGATAATGACGGTGGTTTATTCCGAACGGAAGGAATAAAGCTAGCCTGGTTTGCTCCGTCCGAACGAGGCTAGTCTATTGTGTGCCGATGATGAGATTAAATGTCTTTCAAGGACGCGTCTTCCAGCTAAAAAATCAATCAAGACATTTTCGTGGTGTCAACTTGTAATCGGCCCAGCCTCTGAAGTTGTGTGCTGATTCTACCATGCTTTAATGATCCGTACGTACGTATGCGTATGTGAATGCAGCTGACGCCTTTTCGACACAATACGATACTAGATCAATGTATAGTTCGTTTGGTTTGTTCAGCTTCTGAAGCTTTAGTGAGTAACGTATTTGCCTGCTAATCTTACGGGCATGTTGTGGTCGAGGTTGGAACCCGGGCATCGACACGCCTCGTTTCATGCCGAGAGCCAGCCGTCTGATGGAATGCCGAACGGCGATAACGAACGTAAAACTCAAAACGTGAAAAGGCTTTTGGAGCTTAAATACAAATTGAAGGTTTCAATCACTATTTACCAGTATGATATTGTGGAGCAAACAAAGGAAAAGCTCTTTCAAATCGACTAAACTTCTAACCCGACGTATGTCTTCCGTACGGCTCAGTATATCTCGACAAAGTGTTGGCTGTTCAGGCGTAATGCTGCCCAAAAACGATTAGGTACGGAAGCCGTGCTGCCTACTTGCTTGGCTTATGTTTCATATGGTAGCGTTTCGTCTTTCAGGGCTGGGTCGATGGAGCTCCCCGAACGTAAAATAATAATGTTATTCTATGTACTTACCCTGTAGAACTCAAGATCGATTGAGGGTCAATAATAATAGTAATAATAAAGATATATATATATATATATATACATATATATATATATATATATACATATATATATATATATACATATATATATATATATATATATATATATATCATCACAAACAATCAACTGACGGAGTTTTCAATTTACTGTTATTATTTTTTTAATTCTCGCTTAGTAAGCATGATACTATACGTCCCGCATGAATATAATGGAAGTTCGAGTGATCGCTCCGATAAGTGATTAAGTAGTACTTATCCTTATCGTAACTTGATTCAATCTAAACGGTTTAGTAGATTTTCAAGAACATCAATATTTAGAAAAGTATAGGGAACTCTTATATGATAGAATGACAAATGTATACGTTCAAACTGAAAAGGTCAAACGAGTATTTCGGGTTAATCATAGAATAGAAACCAGTATTACCCTTACGGTCCCAATCCTTACTTGTTTAGTATAAGTTTAGGCATGAGTAAATGATACCATTTTATATAGAAGCCCTTCTGTATTGACTAATATGCATATATACTCTGGGTAACTACAGCCCTGTTGTACATTGTTAAACATTTTGGTGCATTGAAACGCCGATCTGATTAAGATTATTGAGTAACAACTAAGTACTTCAATTAGGGATCTCTGGACTAAAGCGACAACAATAGATATCTACTATTAATCGAGCCAGCCTTCGATCAGGAGCACCATTTGGGTCAAAGGAAATCATGCCAATGCAACGCTATCTAACCTATTTACCGCTCTTTAATACAAGTATTATATAATAACTGGCGATATCTAAGAACAATAACTGACAAGGGCTTCACTGGGGCTTCAAAGAAAAATGTGATGGAGCTTTTCTCGTGTTTCGTAGTACGTTGCACAACGGCCGGACTCTTTCGTAACAAAAATTCCTTCCACGTAAAGTGATTTTTTTTAATCAAAAATATAACTAGAAAATTTAGCACCGTGGTGATCTCCGTTGTAATAATAGCTAGATCTGATGATGCGCAAAAAGGTACACATGCTCCAGGTAGCAAGTCCATCAAAATTACGCTGACCAAATAGCGGAAAAAGAGTTAGAAAAAATATTGTACTAACTGACGTCTCGTTCCCTCGCTGCTTGTTAGAACTAAAAAAAAATAGCCTGACAAATTAACATAAAAATGACCTGACGCGTCAACGAAATTTTCATAATATAGTTATGCAGGTCTTGAGCAATACTTGTTAATCAATATTCGTTAGTCGTATGTTGTTTCAACAGTCCTTCCTGTTTATCGATGTTAATATTTGTATGAAAATTTATTGAAAATTGTAGATAAATTTTTGGGTTTGTATGGACGCTGTCTACGAAACGACTAGATGATTCTTTAGAACGCTTATTTCGGGCAGCTAAATTTAAACGTGGTTGTACCAGCTAGAAAATAAACGTGTGGGATGGTCAAACACTGCAGCGCCTAACAATAACATCAAGAAGGTCGACTGCCTTAGAGAAACAGCAGAGGCTATTATCAGCATCTTAAAAGAACCTGCTTGTCCTATGCTACCAAGTGAATATTCAGAACATGAAAAAGCTGACCGTACGTTCAGTGTTTGAACAAGCATCTAAAGGCCGTCGAAATTTAAATAGGTCGCAATTTTGACAGCGACCGAAAGCTGTGGACGGATGAAACGTGCACACACTGATAGACTGCTCAACAAGGTATAGTCGAAACTCGAACTGTATAGGATCAATCGGTACCAGAAAACCCGGAAGCTGTTTCATCTGTCGGCCATATTACGGGGCACCTTTTTCGGTTTGTCATTGACCTGCGTTAATAAGCTATTTTGAATCGAAATTATTGAAAAACTGCCGAATTTAAAATTAGGAACTATAGAAAAATAGGACTGAGTATACAGTTTTTTTTCTATGCTCGCCTCGGCAAAATTGGAGTTTAATTTATTGACCACCCACCAGATCTGGCCCCCAGCGACCCTTTCCACTTTGTAGGCTCAATGCCCAACTTGTAGGACAAATATTTCTATCAAATAAAAAGCCGTCTCATTCCCAAATGCATGTTTGCTAACCAAAATGCCAACTACTTCTTAGGCGGATTACGAATCATTGAGAAAAGCGTGATTGATTAGGAAATAAACATTATTTCCTAATATTTAGCAAAAATATCTTGTTTTTGCGTCAGGCTGGGAACTGTCTACGTAGAAGCTTTCCACGTACGGCAAAGCTAGCACACACAGATGAAACCAGAGATATCAAATGATCCAAAATTAGAAAATGTAGGGACATGCAAAAGGGTGAGCTGTTTTCACTGAAACAACTCAACCTGAAAGTCACAATATTCTTCAGTACAGCCATTAATATCTATGTAAAATATCGTTTAGACCTGCATTGCCGAATTTACATTGTGTAAAACCCACAACTCAAAGCGTTTATGCGGTAAAAAAAAGGCTCTAAACCCAAAGAAAAACGTCATGTAACAAATAAAGTTAGATCCGCCGTTCTAAAGCTGCACGTGATGTTACGACCATATGTAATGGCGTAGATGGAGCGATATTGTAAGAAGCTCAATATATTTTGCAAACCTCCGCCGCGAGATGGTACTGAAATGAGTTACGTGTTCATCATTTGTTGTTTTTAGTAGGTATTATTGGAATAACAACATCATATATACCTAGTTTTTAATAAGTTAAATACGCAATTTTGTTTTTCACCACGATCGGTTTACCGATCCTAAAGCTAAAGGCAAATATTTACATATAATTACATCGATATAACACCCAAGGTGAGCTGGGGACGTAAAAGCCGCTGTATTTTAAGTATATATTAAAATTGGATGCCGTCGATGCTTATCATAGGTTTATCATTTATGCAAAGCAATGCATAACCGTAGTAGTTATAAAGGTTTCAATCCTGTCGGGTTGGCCTTCGGGGAACGCTGCGCACATCAGTACTGTCCCGCTCTTCCCGAAGTATACTCCACTCGTATATGTGCTATCCAAGAGTCAACTTCACACTGCGCGGAAGAGCTTATTGTGGACTTCTGCTAGATAAATCATCCTCTTTGGCCTGCCTGACTTGGCAGTGAACGATTTTCGCTGAACGATTTCGACGATCGCTCGTAATCCAAACCCTTTCAAGGAAAAAAAAAAACGCATTTTCCCTCTTGTTTGGCTGAATGGTTCACTTGTTCGCACAGAATCGTTAGTAGCTTATAGAGCCCCTCCTCTTTTACAAAAGCCTAGCTTATGGGGTCACATGAGCCCATAACACGGGTGTTTTTAATTAATATTTTCTCGAAATTTAGCGACTCCATTTAGGTTGGATATATATATATATATATATATATTAGGTTGGTATATTGGATAAATACCCCATCGTAACTTTTCCCCGTTTGTTTTCAACGGTTCCAGTTTGGAGTCAACCTCGGCCTATCTAATGCCACTTTCCTCTACATATAAAACAATGTTTAATGACAAAAGCAAGGCTGAAGATGATCTTTGGACACCACAACAGCCCAACCATTGAAAAGCCAAAAATCTCTATTTTAAAAAACATATTCCCTATTTTTGCATACAGTATTCGATCAGCTTACTCGTTGTATTTCGCTTCCTAGTATTATTTTTTCTGAGTCTCGATAGTCAACCAGTGGATACCAGCTAATGACAGTTTATATTACCGCATCTCTACTCTGGCCTGACAAACTGATGGAGCAAGCCTTGTACCTGTACTTTGACGTGACAAGTTAACTGCTGGTATGTATCGATAGGAGTCTCTCATCGACCTTTCTTCCAGTCTATCAGTAAGACAATATCATATGGACAATGTTGATAAACATAAAGACACGTTCTTCAAAACTTGATATACTTATTGTTAATCAAGTGTTTATTAAAATGGCAAATCTACATTACGTGCAAAATGGGTTTCTGCGGTGGTCAACTTATCTTTACCGCTAGACTTTGTTTGACTTGTGCAAATCCACGATATGAATTTCAACGCTGTGTCTAGAGTCAAACTAGAAAGGGCGAAAAATGCTCCCGTAGTATTTTCGAAGCGATGAAGTGGAACTAACGGAAGTATGGCCTTGTGGTTGGTGACCGAAATCAACGAGGCATTTCTGAAAATGACGCTGTAATTTTAGCTCGTAATAGGGGGCGCACACTTCACCGATACGAATATCCGGTCCAAAAAGACAATACCAAAGATTTGGCACCACCTAGCTGAATGGGTAAATAGGTTGCCTATCTATGACTTGTTATGAACAGGGTTTATCCCAGAAAACTCACGTATTACGAATGCAAAAAATAATATTTGGCCTTTTTAAATGCTATGGTAACACTCCAGTACTTCTTTTCGATGATCTACACATACCCTGATCACTTCTGGTGGAAATAAGAGCCTCGCGTTTTCCAACTGCCTTCGGAGCAGCTCGACATCCTTGTTATTGAGGGAACGGCCTTGTCGAAAAGCCTTCGAACTTCGCTTGAGATATTTAGCTTTCTTCACACACAGACATGGGAAGAAGTCATCCTCATCGTCGATTAACTGCTAATTAGAAAATCATCTCTTTGACATGACCAGTGCTTAACCTCATGACCGCTTACACGAAAAGTAACCATTCAGGTGTTATATCGTACGACAGACAACAGCTTGGTATTTACGGCTAAGGAGAAGAAGGCGTTATTAATTTAAGAGCCGTCCTTCTTCGGTGCTTAAAAACTCATGTATTTATTATAGTCACTGAGATGCTCCATATTCATTTTTTCTACGGCTGCAATCTCTTTCCTTATTTACGGTTTTATGCAAGCGCAGTTCAGCTTGCTAGAATCATAGTTCGGCTCAACATAAAAGTGTACAAGGGTCACGAATGTAGGAGAATGAGATCGAGTGCAATAAAAAAAGACTAAGGCCTTCCATTATTGTGAACTTGCTCAACAGATATCAGCCTTCGTAATAAAGCTGCCACAACAGATAACACATGCTGATAAAAGTTTGTGGCTTTCTGTTATGTACAGAGCTAGTAACAATGTTCGATAGAATTAATCTGGTATTACCTCGGGGGAGTGTTCGGGCTGGAGAGGTTGCGACGTGCCGAGGGGGGGCGGAGGAGACGAAGTGTCATCACCTCGACCAGCTTCTTCAGCCGCGTCCACTGTTGTAGCGTTCCCTTCAAAGACGGAGGATGTCGAAGCCTATAATATAATGACGAAAGAAACTAACGGTGTCCATATTGAATTGGTACGTATGTGGTACTGGATTAAAATTATAACGGTACAGATATAAAGGCAGAGCAAAAGTGGAGGGACACAATCTGCTAACGCCTAAACTAGTGATTCAAGAGTCAGTATTTCAACAGTAGGTCAACTGAATACCACGTAGCTGCTTCTGAGTACAGCCTCAAAACACGGAAGGAAAAGATGTTAGTAGTTCTCTCTGTGCTCACAGTGGCAGCTGCCGTACCGTCATTTGGCTATTATACGGGCTAGTTATTCGACCAATGAAACGATTTGTACATTGGTTGCGTAAAAGAAGGCGCGTCATGGGATCTCGGAAATCGAAAATGGGGTTATTATCGGTGGTCCAACCAAGAGATAAATGCTTTGCGGATTCACTCGACGTACATTTGACTCTACGCAATGGCACCCAGCCAATGAAAGGGTAGGTAAACATAATAATGGCCACGTTGTTGTTGGCTAGTTACTCAATGGATCGGTGAGTAGATGTCTAGGGAAGAACGGAGCGCATTCGAGAACGGAAACGATCATACAATTTCCGGAATATTACTCGTACGCTACAATTCCCGACGTCTTTCCATGCTTGTCGGCCATAGAAGACGCACACAATATTAGATCTGTCTGTCATCATAATTATTTTAAAGTACACCTGATAGTCTATCAGGCCCGGTGGTGGTTCAACTGCAACAGCATGTTTGCATGATAAATAAAGATAATGAATTTAGCGAACAGGAAAGCAATACTTAGAGACACTAAGACGTGTATATGTTGTTTTAGAACGGTGTAACAAACAACTATCCTTGACTGTGGGTTGTTTACACTTTACATGTTTCATATAGGAATATGGAAAATCTAGTCAAACTAGAGATATATACAAGTGATCACTATACATAAACAAACAAGTGATGTACAATGTCCATTTAATATTTGTAGACCGAAGTCGAATGATCAAATGGCTACCGGATCGATGCTCTGTAATTTCATAATCATATATGTACATGCCTCAGTAGTTTTGGTGACAACAGCAAATGATGGTGACGCAATGGTCGTAGCAGTAGTCGGGAATGGGGTGGTTGTCGTTGGTGGCATATTTGTCGTAATAGCAGTTGATACCGGTTCCGCAGTGATCAGGGAATCTCCGGTTGGTTTTGTAGCGACTGTAGCGCCAACAGCCTCTCGAAGTGCTTCCTGGTACGTGCATAATTTAGAAATTTAGAAAGCAGTAGCATCTGTTATTAATGCTACAGTTTGCGCGAATAGTTTGTACTTTACGTTCCACTGACAGTTGGTTCGTGTAAATAAAGTATATTTGATAAATTCTCTTGTAATTTATTTACAAGTATATTCAATGAATCAATTCAGGCTAGCCCGAATTTGCTTTTAACAACAAATAATGCTTTTTGCATATAGGACAAACCCTTTCTCTAACGATACAGTGTCTGAACTGTTTGCAACTTAGTCCTCCCCTGCAGAAGGTGCTTATGAACTCCGCATTGCTTCGAAGATTGAAACGAGTCACGCATTTAGATAATGCACTTCGGTCCTGAAAGCATTGGGGAACAACGAAATATATAACGATTTCGCGGATTCGTTTCAAAATACTGATCAAAGTAATTCCCTATTTTCGTTATCACTAATCTTGTACTCGAAAAAAGTCCAACCTATCACAGCAATTTATGATATAATCGCCAAATTGGAAACAACAGGTCAAGCATAGTTCTATGTGCGGCACTTTATTGTAGTGACTGAACGAGCACCGCTGTGAGACGAACAAATAGACAGTCAGAGCACATGTTGAAACTTGCGAACCATCTATGTAATCGCCGTGTGCCAATTAACTGTCAGTTTCCGCTTTTGTACCACATCCTGCTCACCCTAACTACCATATTGACCAAACGCAGTTACTTTTTTTCGGTTGGTACTCGTGATTAACATATTGATAGGCTTCTACTCCTCCAGGTTAAGTATTACTTGATAGGTGACGGCGCTATAATAGTTGCAGCTTTCGCCGATGCTTTTTTGACTTTTTATGTAACTTCTTCTCTGAGTAATCGTCCGGCGGCTGTCAGTGTTGTCACCCAGATAGGTGAAGGAAAAATTAACAACCTGCATTATTCTATCGCCAATCCGGAGCAATTCCTCCACAGGAGCAAGCCCATTGCAACTTGCTTCATAACTGTATTTTGCAAATTTACTTCAGGCCCCATATATATATATATAGATATATATGCTAGAGATTGATGTTAACTGTTACAAACATTTAATGCGTGTCTCTCTACAGAATTGGCTTCTTTCCTAGCTAAATGTACTGCAAAATAGCGTGAACGACACAAATAAATGAATGACTTGAAAGAATACGTACGATGGCTGTCATTCTGTTTAGTAAGCAATGATAGCGTGCCAGCTGGGTATCAGCAGATACAAAGTTATCTGAAAAGAGTCAGCAGATTTTTCACTGACGTTCGTAACGACAATGATTGGAAGTGCTGAAGATCTAAGAAAGTCTAGTTAAACACTTGGCAGCGTCGAAGATTAATATGATTGGAGCTAGCACTGATAAATACATTGTATGATCAAACAACTACGGGAAATGATTATGTCTCATATGTTGAAGTTAATTTTTTTTTGAAAGTATTTAATGAGCCGAGAAGCTTTTGTCTAATCGGTACTCGTTCGTTCTAAACAATTGTTAGTCAATTTTTTAAAATTGGCAGTTATACAGACCGTCTCTCACAGAGACAGAAACTCTACGTTTTGATTCATTGAAACATTTAGGCAGAGTAAGATTGCAAATTCTGATTTGAGCCATTAACCTTGAGGTTAGCAGAAGAGTGGCGCTAGCCTCCAAAAACAGCGAGCATTAGGTGCATTTTATTCTAAAGTATAAAGAAATACTCACCGCAAATTAGGGTGTAGAGGAAGTTGGTGTTGACGCTTCGCATGGCCACAAGGTCCTTGTCCTCGCGATCGTGAGGTTGCCGATATCGTGCTCGAGCTTCTGAGAATGATGGCTTTAATTCAAAAATCAGTTGAAGTAGGATTACAAAGGCAACGACGGTCGTGTTCTAGAAATTAAGGGATAAACGTAGAAGTCAATATGCAAAGTATTTTCTACGGATTCGACCTATTCCATATATATGTATCTGCAAATTTTGTGTTTTCTCAAAGAGGTGTGCACGTAACGTTCACTAATTAAACAAGACAATCATTGCTGGCTAGCGATTCATCTGACTCTGAGAGTCGTTCAGTCAAGCATTTTTAGGTTGAAGCAATGTTGCTATTACAGGACAAATGTTCCCTTGCTAACGCAGATATAACGAAGACACATACTTTAATCGTAATAGCGATCTAAGCAAAACGAATGAAGTCAGTGAAGATAATTATTTGTCCAGATACCTTACCATCATTAAAGCATTTTATGTAACGGCGTCACTATGCAGATGCACTTTAACACTGATTTATATACACAAACTTAAACGTACAGCGTGAAGTCATGATTTATGATGCTGGACCTTTTGAGGCTTCATGCAGCACACAATGAGTTGTACGGACCGAAGTTGTACTGTTGTTTGAGAAGAAGGCTACAGGTGCGTAATATAACTTACTGCCTTTAAAAAAAAATAGCAGTAATCTACTAGACACTGATTAGTTCTTTTACTTTTCGATCGCAGCAAGATCCAATATTGCATATCAAAACCATTTCGACTTGTTCACTCACCTACCTGAATACATTTAGCGCTCGGGCTGCCCATCCTCAAACTAATCCTCTATCGATATTTTTGCCACAGACTAAACACCCACTAACTGCTGGTCATCTACGATGCACCAGATCTGCAGCGGATTACTAGTCCAGTATTAGCTGTAGGGCCTTTATAGTTGGAGCAGGGCAACGTGACTTTCGGGTTCTGCCCTTGTCGCATTGTTACAGGTCGACAGGAGAAGGCGTCAGTGCACACAGACTCGGGTCTGCATTGCGTCAAGTTTCAGTGCCGAATGTCGGCAACCGTTCTAAGCTATTCCTGTGCATAACACATTATTAAACCGACGGTGTTTTACCGTAATCTTTATTGACAACTCATTTCAGTAAAAATCGCCAAACTGGCAATCTTGCGCAATCAGTCGTTTGACTATAATGCAGGTCTGATAAACGATCCATCTTGCCGATTGTTTTCGCTCACTATAACGACCGCTGACCTAAGCTAATAGCCAGTCATCTCTAATATAATCTTTCTTTAGTCTGCAAACAACTTTTCCGCCACGCAACCAGAACAACTTTTGAGGAATTAAATTAAAAACTGATAGCAAGTCCAGGAATACGAAAACTTAGAACGGTCAAAAACTCAAAAGGTCCAAAAATGTTAACTGCTGAAGTTTAACTGAATGGCCCAGTTGACAACTGATATTCTCCTTTTTGAAACGGCTGTTGATTGATGATATAAGAAGCCATTTTTATACATTTTTGAACCCTTTAAAAAAAACCCTATTGACTTCTCCCAAATTGCCTCATCATTGAAACCTTGCTCGATTTTCTCAAAAGCCCCAGCTAGAAGTAGTAATAACGCAGAACGTCAATTGCAAGCAGGATTTTCTTTTCTACTTCAACGGGAACCCCTCCAGCGCCACGAGATTGGATATAAGTTCATCCCTGCCAACATTTCAAAAATATCGAGTTCTTAACTGACGAGCTTTTAAATAACGAGTAGTAGAAAGAACAGGCTCTCTTCTAGGGCCAAAAATGGTGTATGAGTGTGTACCAATTTAGGCACAATTCCCTGTGTACATATATACTTTACGTTATATTCTGCAAATATTGAAGTAACTTGTAATTGGATGATTGGAGCATTTTAAAAGTTTATCAATCGATTCTAGCAAATTAAAGCAACGGGTTCTTCCTCGAAAAATTAACCATCTCGTCACAGGCAAAGCACGACCTATTCAATACAGAAAAAATGAATTTTTTCATGCATGCATGCATGCATGTAAATATACAGTCGTTGTCTTCTCTTGACTTGGAACATTAGTTGATATGCCATAACAGGCTGTAGTCTCTCTAACTGTGACATTATGACAAGTGTGCTTATCAAGATTCTTTTCTATCATCATTAAATCGCCGTGGTGATTGCAACTTATATATATACATAGATATCGCCCCGTATCTAAATGGACCAGAAGAATATTGGTCTTTACGGTGCTATCAGTATGTGGATAATCTGCGACTACTAGAGATAAACTAGTAAAACTGAAAATTCTGGCTTTCCCACCCATCCTGAATGAAGCCGTACTATTAAACGATACAAACTTCGAATCGAATTTTTTTCAGCGGAAAATACAGTAAACATAGGTATCAATGTAACACAAATCAACAAAATTATTAATTAAAAGCGATACAGACTTCCGTCTTGTCAAGATTCGATAATTCTCCCTATTGACTTCTCCCTTAAGCGTTGCAGTGCTACAGAGTTCTACAGCCATCCGTTCCGCAGACGTTTATCATCATTTTACAATAGAGAATGTGCATCATTCTTTATTCTATTTATTTTATTTATTATTATAGATCAGCGTTCTTTATTCTTCGATTGTCATTTTTATTGTATTGCATTAATAAATACAACGCCATAGAATTTTGGCAAATTTTTAAAACGTCCATAGATGTCGTGATTATTTGGGTTATCGTTATAATTGAAAAGTTTTTTAAATTTAGAGCCTTATATACTATGCTAGGCTATGTTTTTTAGGCACTGAGATGCGAAAAACAGATACATCAGAATGAAATACTCGTCTATCCTAGATCGTTTAGCTCATCATCAATGGGGAGGCGTAATTTGGCATTCTCTATTGGATTGTACGAGCACAGTATTTTGGGGGTGTTTCCTGAGTTCGAGGCAATAGGTAAGCTAGTAATGGCAATATTCACAGTTCGACAATACACATATTTACTACCGCCTGACACGCGTTCAGCTCAACTTTGTTTGACCTATTAAGTTGTTGTAAGTGTCCGTCGCGGACCACAGCAGGACGCTCATAACCTAAACATGCTGGGTGCTTTTACTGTCACATTCTGACATTGACTACATAGTGGTCCGATTCAAAGGTAAAATCGATGGGCAAATCGTGACAGATCCCACTGTGATGCCACCATCATAATGATCACAATATGCTGCGTCTGCGAATAGTGGGGAACAAACGCTAAATAACATGGCTGTACTAGCGTTATTGACTGCAGTCTATATATTAGGTTTGATAAACTATTTATAATTCTCTATCTTCTAGTAGTAACTATTGTGGTCTATATGTTGGTCATATTTGGCCCAGTACTAGTGCAGCGGTAAAAGCTTGTTCATTAAGTAAGCTCATCAAGCACTAAGCTAATTGAAATTCGAAAGCGGGTGTAAATACACGTCGTCGGCCAGTGGTTTGAAGCTATGTTTAAGGGCAGTACTGGAAGTCAAATTCAAAATACTTGAACTCTTTGCACGATTACGGATCATGATTGACCACAGATAATTTTATAATAACAGACTAGAATTACGGGTGACCGCGGCATCTATATGAGCCTTCACTTTTCCGGTACTTATGTTCCAGCATTTGGAGTACGTAACACTCACTTTTCCAGTGCCCAGCGCACCCTGATTAGGATTAATGCTAGACGATTCGTAAGTTTTACCCCAGCTAACCTGGTATTAAATAGCTATGAAAAAAACTCCAGTTTTTTTCGAAACTCAAGGATGTTCTGTTGAAGTGCGTTTAACGACCGATCCCCTATTAGAGGCCCATGTAGCCCTACCTTTGTTCATAAAGCTATACCTGTGTAGCCATATAAGCACATATAAGTTCAGTGTACGTCTTTCATAAATAGAGTTGCAAAAAGTTACAGATCGACCCAATCTTGGCCTTGAGACCATCATAGAGGCTGCTTTAATTAAACTTCAAGTCAAGTAAAAACATCTTACACCTAAACTGATATGCTACACAATCTGTGTTGCACTTGCAATTTTGTCATAGGGATGCATAGGATACACACATAATAACGTGTCACATATTCGTAAAAATGTAAAAAAAGCGATGTCGTCTTAAGTTGCTTTCGGCGTCACTGATTGCTAAACTGTGTATTCCTCCGAACTTGTGATATGGCCTCGATGTAGCATTAAAAATCCAGCTGGTCCAGAGTCAGGGGATTTTGTTCGTAAGCATGGCAAGCTGAAACACAACACGATGGCACGCGACGACGAGTGATTTTTTCTCTTATAATTCTGCTTATAATAGGCGCCGATTTGCTGAATCGATCGGCATTATAAGGTCGGCTATACTAGAGGCAGCAAAATCGAAGGACTGAAAAAAGGGACGAAAAACTTCCCGATATTCTATAACAGCAGGATGGAACGGTGCCACTTAAGCGAACAGTGTTAGAATGAGAAGTAAGCTGATCAGTACTTTCTGAAATGACCATCGAGGCCTGTGTATGTTTACCTGAGCACCTAGTAATCAATGTCTTAGCCATGTTTTTTCTGCAAAGAGGGAAGGGTCGACGACATCTGTTCTATGAACTAGTTCGATCAACTACCCCTTATACGCTGCGCAGTTCGGTGGAAATTGCTAATGCTAGGCGTCCTTTGAACTTTTTCCTTCAAAATGCTTGAATTTCAATGTGCGGCACACTGGTCAACGAACTGCGGCCTTTGGTTAAATTCGACCAAATCCTTAAGCTAATCTCAGATATAAATCGTAATACAATGGACCGATCTCATAAACCCGTAAGCCGTTCACGATACACTCAGTATGCCATCGAGATGTAACTTATTAATTAAAGTTACATCTCGATGGCATACTGAGGAAAATGGCTCCAATAGAATATCGTCGATAAAAAAGTGGAAATCATCCGCCAACGTTTGTAGTTATATATGCGGGCAATGTGATATGTGTGGGGCTTTTGTGGGGGACAGAGGTTACTAAGCATATTGTTAAAATCAGTGGCTGTATTTAGGTAGGCTAAACTAATTAAAGTATACTACAAGTCCACATTTGATGCATTCTTCTCATTAAATTCGTTAGGTAGCATTTGAATGCATCCAATTTTTTTCCTACCACTTTACTCAATTTATCAAAAAATGAAGAGGTTTTTTATCGATATTCTATTTGGGCTATTGTATAACAATAAATGTGTAAATTTCTAATTTCAGGACCTCATCACTTTGCGTTATAATGATACGTTGCGTTTTAAATGGAAGATTGGAGAATTACGTTAATGACTGCAATTGGTAGGCCTGTCTATTTTATTAGACAGGCCTACCAGTTGCAGAAAATAAATGTGCCACGTACTTTTCGTCACGTTTCTTGGCCAGTTTATTTGTTCCGTCTCGAGTAGAAGTTTTCAGTCGAAAAGCTCGTTCGGTCAACTTTTCGGATAAACTTTGTTTTGACTTATCGGATCTTTTCTGCCGCAGAGTTCGGTTTCCGTCGTGCACTTGAGTCAGGTGAGATCTACATAGGTTGACTTATGTGAATGCTATACATGAACGCTTTTTAATATGAGACATAACCTAGTTCCTTCCAGTCCAACAAAAGGCAAGGTCTTTTTCGGATTTAGATTTGATCTAATTCTGTGCTTCGGCATTGTTTTCAGAAGTACCTAGTCTCCCTTCTGTTTTACACTGCCATTTCTAATAATTTTATGTAGCGACCTGTTTTTGGCCAAGCGAGATGTTAGGGATTATGATTTTCAATCGGATTACGGGGGTTCAGGTTTTTCTTGAGTAAATTCGGGATGGTTGATCGGAGCGTTATGCGATATCATTTGTTTGTCTCAAAACATTTATTTGTGAAGCTTACCACGCGACGTACTCAGAATGTACTTGGTACGCGGGTGGCATACTGAAGTAGGTAACGGTAAAACGAAACGTGGTTTGAAAACAATATGCTAGGCTCCTAGATCAGCCTAGTACATAAAGACTATTTTAATTGGTTACAATTATATACTATGGCCGTCTAAAGGCTATGTAAACACAAGTCACCATGGCATCGCAATAACAATAATATTTCAATGACGTTGATTTCAGCAGCGGAAACTGTCAGTAGCGATAATAAATAACTCTACTCACTACCCATTGTGCAATTAATCGATTTTTTATAATAAGCATATCATAAGTACCATCGTGACACATACACACAATTCTATCGGCGGAAATTTCTACAAAGAAAAAATTATAGGGCAAATTTTTTTCCTTTTCTTTTTCAAAGGGATAAGGGCATCGGCAGTTTCAAGTCGGCTCTACAAAGGACGACAACCTAGCCTTCGCTGAAAAGTGATTCAAGTCTACGAATCTTAAGAACTGCGCCTTGATACAATATTAACAGTGTATAATACCGTATTCATACAAGCGTCTAAGTCACACAAAGCGCATAAAGGTACATTTACGTTGACACGTGCGTACTTCTGTTACAATAGAAAGAGCATATATCTACGTTTGGTCCTAGTATTTTGAAACATTACGTTCTTCAAGAGACGCAAATTTTGCTCTACACTGTCGGCTATAGACTTAAAAGTGCACTGTACTTAGATAAAACGCGGAAAACGTATTGTCCATGGCCATAAGACAATGCTCGTATTGGAAACCGCTCAGACACGTTTTGCAAAGCAGGACATTTTGATGACTGTGTAATAATTGCTTCAGAGATTATAAAAACACACTATAATAGATTTTTTTTTGTTGTATATAAACAAACGATTACGTATGCTACGCCTCGGTGTAGAAATACAAACAAATGTTTTCATCTTTGTGTCCGGTACTGCCACTGAGTATTACGATTGTGATAAGGTACATATCTCATGCTGCGATATGCATTATGGCGGCATCCAATTATACTGACGGTGAATATTGCTTTATTATTTATCCAGCATTCGCCTATATTTTCATATTAAGCTCAATGGCTAGATTAAAAATAAAGGAGAAGAACGGAAAGGCAAATAAAGAATGTTTTAAAGTAACGATGAGGTATGCTTTATAAATAGAAGACGTAGAACAATATATACGGGCCCAACGATCTCGTCGTTTATATAACTGTCCTCATTTCCTTTCATTGGAAACGCAGTTCATCCAGATCACCACTAATTAATTCATTGTCGTATCTTGAGAAAGTTCTATTATCGAAATCAGAAGTACGCGAAAAAACCTTATAACCTAAACGTCTTTCATTAAGCACAATAAGCACTCAATACTATGGCGGCTCACTAGAGCCTTCGGTGATTGCAAAGCACAGCGCCACAACCACCACAACTCTATGGAGCACAATTTGTCTGTAATAATGTAAAACATAATTAGCTTAAGAGTTAGGCTTATCTTAACTTAGCGTAGATTATTATATATATATATATATATATAATAAATTAGCTAAAGAATGAATGCAGTTACTTTATTTACTGAAATTGGATACAGTCTCTTAAAAATTCTATCTAAAAATTAAAAATTAAATCTAGGTTCGTCTGCGCGCTTATGGGTTCCTCGTGACTCTTCGCCTCAGCGGACAATTTTATTTTATGATACGTACTATTGCCCTCTGTTGTAATTCCCGCCGTACGGGATTAATCAGACGCCGTCATAACACAAAAGTTTTATGACGGCATTTCACCTCCTTTTAGGGGGTAGGAATACTTCGTGGTGGTACGTTGTAATGTATCATCCGAATATTTGACCGTACGCAGTGTCGTTTCGCTTTTAAAATCTCAGCTAAAACAGCTGAAAGTCACAGGTGTGAAGCGTAGTCATATCGCTTCGTAAGCACAATATTACAAACCCAATGAGCACCACAGTATAGCCCGTAGTGATCCAAAGAGCTCTTTCGGCATGTGATAATTACCTTTCACAAGTGCTAGTTGCTATATATTCCTTTCCGAAAGAATAATCAAAATAATAACCATTTATTTTATTTATAAGGTCTAGTCTGCAGAGATAAAAAAAGATTCATGGGACATACATGATTGTAGCAAGGCATCAAAGTCGATGTCACCGTCCAGTAGCTCTTCTATCTACCAGCTTGATTTCAAACTGCACGGGACAAAAATTTAATTAAAGCTGTCCACAGTCAGCAATGACAACTTTCTGCTTCGTTGCGCCATTTTGTGAGCCAAGTGCCTCCATCCTCTTCACGACATCCATGCCCTCAACAACTGAACCAAATACGACATGTTTATTATCCAACCACGAGGTCTTCACAGTGCAAAGGAAGAACTGGGATCCGTTGGTATTTGGACCAGCATTAGCCATCGAAAGTATACCAGGCCCTGTATGTTTTAAAATAAAATTTTCATCTTCAAAAGTTTCGCCATAAATAGATCGTCCTCCTGTTCCGTTGTTTTTTGTGAAATCTCCACCTTGGCACATGAACTTCGGAATGATACGGTGGAACGTGCATCCTTTGAATCCTTGTCCGGTCTCACCGGTACAGAGTGCCCTAAAGTTTTCCGCAGTCTTCGGAACGACGTCTGACCGAAGCTCCATCACAATACGTCCAAGCTTTACACCGTCAGCTTCAATATCCATGAAGACACGAGGTAGTGAAGACATGTCTGCCCTAAAACCACACACAAGTCTACTCTAATAGTTTCTAGTTTAGCAGCCAGCTAAATTCGGCTTCGTTTTAATCGCAAAGTAGTTGACTGTAAAGAAATTTAATACACACAGAAAGAACGTTTGCGGTAGCGTTATATAACTGACCAGAGGGTTGCATGAAAGGTAAATAAGGATATCTTATCTGAGACGTGCGTTAGTGTCTTATTCAGTACGTGTGTTAGGAAATACTACCAAGTACAAATCCAAATTTTTAAAACGGAAAAAGGTGAGATGTTTTCGATGTGAAACACGTCTTAGAGTGTGAGTAAAGGCAGCAGACTACGGGTGGTTTTATGCTGTTAGTCTTGGTCTACTTTTGTATGGCCGATAAGCTGCTATGTTTTGATATGCGCAATGCAAATGTCCGCACGAACGGTTTTATTTCATGTATCGTGAAGCATGAGACTACAACGGGTTGTCGGGAGAAAGATATGCATAAACGAGGTAGAAATAAAACGTAATGCTCGTAATGGTTAGACGTAAACGGGCCTCTAATTTTCCCAGTAACTTTAAACAATAAAAGTCATCGTACTTATAGCTGATTTCGCTGTTAGGTATTTTTTTTTGGTATTTAGATTTAATATAAAAAATGGGTAATGAAAGTTTCAAGTAAAACAGAAATAAAAATTAGGACTATACATTTTCATAACAAACAAGACGGTGTACGACTGGTTTACGCTTTTTAATTGAGCAAATAAAACATCAACGCTTTATGACGTTTCGTCAAAATTATTTAGGCATACGGTCGTTGGAGAGTTGGCAAATGACAAATGCAAAGCGACAGCCATGCAGATGGCTAGTACGCCGTGAATTGACCGTATCTTTAGCAAACTCTACTGCACTGATAGATCGCTTCGGTTGTATGTTCTCGACGAATGATACAATCTCTCGAACGGTGGCGTTGTTCTCTGTGTACAGCGATCAGGAATTCATGACAGGCCGCAACCTGCTCGAGCGAGAGTTCAACGTGCTAAAGGTCCTACAGGCTCTCTAGACTCTGCCGAACAATATGGCAGCGGACCTGGACGAGGTCCGCAATTAGCACCTACAAGGCATTCTTGTTCTGGCTTCGTGCTGGGCGAAATGCGTTAACGGGTGTCCAAGTGCCAGCAACCTGCCGATTCAATGGGGATGCTTTGCTGTTGATGAGTTAAGAATGAATTAACTCTGCCACCTTGATGGCGCGAAATCGCTAAAAAAAAAACGCTTCAAACTGCTCGCCGGTTTATTGACCAAAAGACTCTACGCCCTCTTAGAGAGCAGGAAAGTCGTACCTAAGGGACAATATGGATTTCGGAGAGAGCGCTTGACGTATGCACTCAATAATAATCTAGCGCGCCCTCTATTGGCGGTACTTGTTGATTTTAAGGTCGCATACGATTTGGCAACCAGAGATCCGGCTTTGGGTACCTTGACGCACGTGGCTGTACTATGGACTATGCTTTACCCTGCTAGCTGAAATCTAGGAGATCAACATAAGTACTGATACAGAGTGTTTGCTTGACAGAACAAAGGGCCAAAGGACCGAGGTTATCCTCTATAAAAATGTCTGGGCAACCTAACCAGATTACAATGCAGCAGGGCTGAGTACGCTTTGTACGGAGTTGGGACTAACGGTCAACTTGAATAAGGCGGAGGCCGTAAAATTCATGAAGGCAAGATCGCAGCTGTCGATACGCTATCTCTTCCCCTGATACTCTCGATTCCTTCCAGTGAGTCCGGAATGTTAAGGGTGCCATCGTACGTAAGGTTCCACAGAGTAGGACTTGATACGGCTGGGATGCCCCTTCTTTCGTGAATGGTGTTTAATACTCTGTTCGTAGGGTATAAGGAGATGCGTACCTCTAGATAAGGAAAAATCTCTCTTCCCTCATAATGGCATCCCAGTTTACTGTGTTAAACGCAATCTTCACATCTAGCGAAATCACGGGCACGACCTCGCTCGTTTTTCGTGTCTTTCTGTTCCTCTTGGTGCGCTTTATCGAGAAATTTCTTGATAGCTGTGAGAACAAACTTCTTTTCTGAAAAAACCGTATATGATTTCGAACATAACCTGTCTGTCTTCCAGTTCTGTCTTGAGTCTGGAAATGATTATCTTTCCCGTAGTCTTCGCCTGACTGATGCTCAGAAAGCATATTCAGTATAAGCCGACGGACCTGCCTTCTTGTCCAGATTAAGTATGAGAGTCAGCTCGACCCCTTTTCACGTATCGGGAAATCGGTCGATTTAGAAACTCCTCGAATAGTTCAGACCATTTGTTGATGCCTTCATCTGCATTTCTGTCGAAATTTGAATAGTCTGAATTCTCTGTCGATCCTTCCTCAGCATGATATAGTTGAGTTCTCATATTCGGCACTTTCTTCCACACAAAGTGAGGCGTTATCTAACGGCGGTATCGGACGTAAAATGCGAAACGTAGCTTTTTAATGATGATAAATCCTTTTACTTACTGGTCTCAACTACCCGATCTTTATTCTTAAAGAACGATCAATACCGATTAAATATCGTATGTTTAATGCTAGCAAATTAGACAAAGATTATTCTTCTAATGAGGAACAAATGAGAACGTGCTTGAGCTGCTAACTAACGTACAATATAATTTGGTGGACCATCCATCAGAGGTTTTTCAAAAGCTAATTATTAGCAGTTGTTACAGATGTCCTGAAACTGCTGGATTTTTCTCACCTACCGAAAAACTGGTTTTTGAAAGCTTCGATTGACAGAATGAACATTGCTATGCTTCTGGTAAGAAGTTATCATTGCGATTGAAAATAAATAGGCTTGCCGTAGTCAACTTCTAGATGTTGCGGAAGTTTTTCATAAAGTAAGTCACTCTGTTTGCCTGAAGACAAAGTCCCAGGCTACTGAATGCTCGAGGATACGTATTCAGGTTAGAATTAATGGCCAGCCTCACTCGGCAGCTCAGCAGCCTAAATGCTATGTTAATATATCAGGATTAAGGGAGATTGGTATTCCAAATAAAGACCGGTGCTGCAGACAGTGTTGTGACATGCACTTCCGCATAGGGAAGCGCCTATTCGAAAATAACTCGTAGAGCTCAAATCATCTAGAACGATGCATCGAGATCAGTCTTTGAGCCTGGCCGCAGAGTCTCTGCAAATGACCTCTCTCGAACAAATTGTTCCTTGCACCTCGCTCTATTTACCTTTAAAACATCAAAAGCGTCGTAATTCTCTCCTACTCACCGCTTTGACTGTCACACCACCATATTCAAAGTTGACTTTGTTATTAGTAGACATGTTCTCGCTTTCCACTTACCTACCACACTATGTATCTCTTTCCCCTGTGAAACTCGGTCACTCAATTCAGTATAAAAATATTTAGGAGAAATCTTGAGGCATTTAATTATGATGTAAATTGGATAATTAACATATACGTAAACATATTTGATCTTATACAATAATTATGACGTAAAATATAATTATTTTAAGATACGTAAAGAACACACAGGAACATAAGAGCAGTGCAGAACGACGTTTGAGGCATGCTTTTACGTCAATATAACGAATAGTCTGGGCTGCTTTATTAAATTCCGTCAAAAATAGTAATAGGTTTTTCTTTGAAGACTACGACCTCAATCAAGTTCTATTAGTTGTACTTTCTGTTTTCGATTTGACTTTTTGTGCTGACATCCTAACTGAGCAGTTCGATTTTTGTTTTATCTCGCGAAGGACGCAGTTAACGGCCAGCTTCTGTAGCAGTAGAGGAAATTACGCGTGGAATATCAGGATGAGGTAAATAAATATCCATTCGCTATTTAGTGACCAAATTATAGGCGGCAAAGAGCGGGCTAGGGCGCCGAAAGCAGTGGACGATTTGAGGTTTACAGGAATCATTCTGCCGTCGCCGCTACTGCTACTTTTTGTTGCGCACGTTCGCAGCTTTTTATTCTCTTTGACGCCCTGAGAAACGTACACGACAGCATCAGCGTCACTCGAACTCCATGCCCTCCCGCTACAAACAGCCATAAGCAATGTGACCACGTTCTCAAGTAGGTACGTAAATTCGAAGTGATAATAAACATGACAACGTTATAAGGTTCTTCGGTCTGGAACCGCTGTTGCTGTTGCATTACTACGTGCCTTGGCGGCAGACAATAGACAACGGGGATTATGACCAAAGTGCGAAGAGGATGCTAACTGAAAGGATAACCTGGGCTAAACAAGTCCAATTATGCCCAAATGTATTTAGATGGATATTAGAACTTGCTGCCGTAAATCGTGTAGAAAATTAATTTAGCTTTACAATATCTCGAGGGGCATAGCAACATCAAAAACATAGCACAAATGAAGTAAAGGCTAGGTTACGACGTCCGAATGCAGTACACTTCATTGCCGCTTCTGTACAAACGTCGTTAGGAAAGCTTAGGTTAGTTGACTGCTACGTTCATAGGTTGACGGAGTATACGTACAGCGATAGCGGAGGTGTTATATGGTATATAGGCGCGCCAGGAAGTGTTAGGGGCATTTGTATCTCGTTTCAATCTCTTATGGCCCCCTGCTGTTCTATACCCATGTCGGAAAAGAAGCCAGCAAGGCCTTAAAAAGTAGTTGACCCAATTCTCGATAAACGCATGCCGTACCTATAAACAAAGCAATATTGACGTGTTCGATTCGACGGGGATATTTATCCTACCAACGTGAACAATGAAAAAGAACGTTAAACTGGTAAATGACGTCACAAACTTAAAAAAGTTAATATATCCTTTTTTTTTTTTTTTTTTTGAGCACGGCCTAGTCCACAGGCACCATTGCTAGTGCGTACGGTCTGGTAGAGTCCTCCAGTGCTTATTCCCCTCTACCGTACTATCTATAAACGATTTTATTTCTAAAGTAGCTCGCACGCTTTAAAATTCAGTCTGTGATTATTATCGCAACTGTTTAAACAGCAAACCTTGTAATAGCGCTCATTTCAAGGAAAAATCTATGACGAGATTGGTAGAACTTGCAACTCCTACTCCATGAGAAACCTAAACTTACCCATCAGTATATCCACGAGTTACTGAAATTAAGGTAAGTGCGGCCTGAAAAATTAACAACTTGATAAGTTGGCATATATTTGTATGAAGAGCGAAAATACCGTCCTTGACAAAAAGAATCTCGCCATGCGATGCTTTCCGTCCGTGCACACCGTTGAAGCATTTTTTCTATTCGTAATAAATAATTATAGCTTGGCCAAAACAGTCGTAAATCCATTATTTTTTTTATTCTATAGAACAACCGCTCGACTTCTACGTTTACAGACAAGCTTTGCTTCAATTTATACGTGCTTTTTAACTCCGTACAACACTTCGAATGTCATCCGACTCCTTTGAACGATCGTTTTATTTCTATTATACAATACTGTTGATTCATATCTACAGTATTATATAATACAAGAGGCTATATGCCGTTGTTAGGTGCCTATGTACTGCTAGAAGAGACTACTGTGGATGTACACACTAGACTGTTTGTTGGAGGCGCGTGTAGAAGACTCGCGTTTCAATGGCGGGCTTCTGACTAGTCATATCTAGAAGGCTCGTGATGACCATAGCTAAATCAGCGAGTCTACTCGACGGAGCTAGCTTTGTGAGGGCTGGAAATGAGGGTCATGGAATTGTGACTATCAAATGGGGTGCTCCATTCGTCGAGGGTAAGAAGGGAAGGGTAGTGCGACTAAGTACAAGAAGCTACAGGGCGCCTTTGGACTCTAGCGGACAGCGGAGCGTGGCCCGCTGAGGTGGCCTTTCGTATTTCTTCGCTACGTTTTATTCATTCTCTCTCTCTCTCTTTGCTCTCTCTCTCCCTCTAGTCCTTCACTCCACTTGCACTGTATCTCATCTGTGGCTTATAGCTATCTGCGTGAGGGCGCCACCATCACTGCCGCCACCTCCAGGACGGCCTACCTGGTGGCCTTTGGTTATGCCAGTGCCACTATACTTGTCTTTCAGCGGTAGCGCATGTAAGCGTGTGGTATGTTCCACCCTGTACGATATGGTATGCCGAATCGAAAGGTGCTGTGCGATGCTGCTTCTATTGCTGTGCCTAGTATCGCTGCAGCGTTGCTTCTGAGCCCCGGGGGCGAAAGTGGGGCCCGCGCATGCGCATAGACAACGCTCGGGGGCAGCACGACCGCACTTAGAATGGCCGGACGGACCTACGGACGTACGTCGGTGTACTATGACGGCGGCGGCGGTCTTCTTTCTTCCTTGTCTGCCTGTCTAGCTAGGGTTCGGAGCAGCTTTAGCGGCCGAGTGAACGCTGCTTCCTGATGGCAAGGCTGGCCGATGATGGCTAGAGGGAGACCAGGGGCCAGACGACCTGCTGCTAGCAGTGGACCTAAGTAACCAGCAATCTTCTACTATTCGCATTCGCGTTGGCATTACTTGGCCACGTTTAGCAGCAGTAGCAGTTTCGTCACGTTTATTTTATCAAATCGTTGTGCTACGATACGAAAATTGGTCTGTCTGTCAAGGTCAGGAGCAAAAAACTACCCCAGTGGCGTTAGCGGCCTGTTCGGCGGGAATGCAGGTGTTGGGGTTCGAGCAGCGGCAGCAATAGTAGGTGCAGTTGCAGTAGCATCACCACCATAACCAACAGTGGCTATAGAGAAGCTAATGGCATTACTCTATTGTATCCATTACTTCATCGATGCAGCTCCTGTAAATGATGATAGTGCTCCCGTGGTCGTGATTAAAATGAAATGAATCTCACTGAGGCCCAGCAGTGAGCGTGGTATATTGGAGTAAGGAAATCGTTTTAACCGGCCAGGAATCATCATATATCAACGTCTAGTCGTGAACTATTAGTTTAACCGTGAGCTACAGAAACCAGTATCAAGCGGCAGCACCATATCGACCTCAGCTTAACCCTCAGCCCGCCGAGGGCAGCGCTTGTAGACTAGACTCCACAAAAGCTAGAAATACAACCAGTAAAATCGCATCAGCATCAGAAGTTATAGTTTCAGTAAAACGACCAAAGCGAGGGTGGATTCAGTCAAGCACTCAACAGAGTTCAGTGCCCGAAGGCGCCAAGTCCAAGACGCCCAAGAGTCACGAGTGTACACACTCTAACGAGACAATCGACCTAGCAGCACAAGCTAATAAGGAACGAGAATACGTACTAGAATTTAAAAAAAAAAAAAACAAAAAACGTAGAGTTAAGTAAGAGCTGCAACGAAAGCAAGTCATATCCAGCAAAAGCAGCAAGCGGGTACCGTGGGGTGACAGGCCCATGTGATAGGAGTAGTACTGGCAGCACCAAAGGCAGCATGGGTGGCCCAGGCTGATGAGGCCTTTATAGCCGCCAACAAGCCCTTCGGCCGGCAAGATGTGAGACCGCCGCGGGCGCATTCGCCTACTTCAGCCCACAACTTCAGCCGTCTAAATAAGAGAGATTATAACCTAAACAGAAAAAAAGAGAAAGGAATAGCGTCAGCTTCTACAGTAGCCAACATCATCGAACACACAGCCAGGGTTAGAGAGAAGCCGAAACGGAAGAACAATTCAGCAAAGGTCTACCGTTCCAACAATCGATTTGTCAATCTATAAATCCAGCCATCTATACGAGCAACGACGAACAAACAAAGCATAGCAATATAGCCAGTAAAGCGATGTAGAGCATGGAAAGCGAAAACAGGTAAGAGACGCGACGGAGCTGAAAAGAACGCCTAAAAGATCGAAAAATGGCTTCTTAATGAAAGTGACAACTCGTTTCGGCATGGAGCGTTAACAAATCATCGCGGCAAGCAAAAACCACGACGTAAAGAAAAAAGCATTTAAGTAAAGAGGTAAGCAGCGGCGTCATTTTATGTACGCCCTTATGAGGGGGCTGTGGCATCGTGCGGAGTAATTGACGTACCGTCCACAGCCTCTTTATTGGAAGACACGCGGGCAAACCCCAAACCTGTCCTTTACTTGAGAGCTCAAGCTCCTATTAAAAGGACAAGGAGTGGATGCTGTTTACTCCGTGAGAAAGCGAACAAGTTCCAGCCAGAACTTGGCTGGAAACCGAAACCGGCTTTACGAATACCAATATCGGCTCACATTGACACTAACAATAAGGCTCGACACGAATGCTCTCTAATATGCATGGCTAAATAACTCCAAGCATTAACATAGAGTAGCCTATACAAGAGGTGGCTGTTAGCCTATTAACTGAAAAGTGTGAAGCTCGCCGAATGATAACATCTATCCAAAAAGCAAGGCATGATATTTGAAGGTGGAAAAAGTCCTAGTTGTAGATAGCGTGAGTACACGAATACAGTCAACTAATTTTTGTGACGTGTGATCTGCATGATACAGACACTGTGAATGAGGGCTCCGCTTCACGTAGAGTTCGGGTCATGGCCAGGTGCGAAGGGGGCAAAGGCCTGGCGTTGTGAGAAGAGAAAGGCACCAACATCATCAAATAATGCCAAAAGCTCGGTAGCAACCGAGAAAATAAAATCAGCTTTTACCATTGTCCCTACTGTATCTGCCGCGCTGGAAGGCCTAAAGTCGAATGCTTTTTCGGCTTCCAGTGGTAAGAAGTCGTACCATAGCCGGCTTATGACAAAGATTCCTGTTAATCATCGTTATTGTGACAGCAAAACAAATACGAATAATCTGAGCTCTTGTTCAGCGCGAGTTTCTAACGCTATCATTGCGGGCCAAAAGCCCGACTTCGGCCTGAAACTGGAGGGAGATGACCAGTCATTCTTTGGAGCATTACAACAGAGATCCCCAAGTACGCAGGACGCCCTCCGGTAGAGCGCATTACCAAGATACAAATAATACAGCAACTAATTCTTATACAAATATAACTACTGCTACTTCTACTTATCATACTAACGCTAGTTCAAGTTCCGCTACCGCGGGCTACCCAAACGTCTCAATATCTCAATCGCCTTCAACACGTGAGAGCCCTGTTGCAAGGCAAGGTCCGAGTTCTGTTCAGATCGTCACCGACTCACCGACCGAGGAGGCCCTCGGCAGAGGAGAGACCCACGCACACGATCAAGTTCAGCACCAGTCTAGAAGGAGAAGCCAGCAGCAACAACATCACCATCGTCAGCAACACAGCGCCGTGCATCCTCCTACGACAGTATCGTCACAGCAAACTCAGCCGAGCCAGTCGGCAACCCTAGGAAACGCGCAGCCGCATCACCGGCAGTCGCCTCACGCGCACACGGATCGTGATTTCAGCGTCGGCGTTCAAGAGCCTTGCGATTCAAGAAGGGAGCCTCATAATTTCGAGCGTGTCGGCAGCCCTTCTCAGAGGTATTATCAATCGCAGTACCAACAACAGCCGGCGCAACAGCACCTGTCGAAACGTCAACGATCCGCTGAACATTCACATCATAACCCTGCTTATCAGCAACAACAACATCATCACGGTCACTCCGGCAGCCGACAGAGTCCACATAGTCAACAACCACAACAGTACTATCACCACAGCCAACAACAGTCGTACGAGTCAACAGCTTCTCACTCCCAGCAGGTGGGAGGATCAGTTCACCCGCGATTCGCAGACGAAGCAGTGGATCATCATTTCGAATCGGCGCGGGACAATACAGGTTTTTGTGAACACAGCACGACGACGCGCGGCGCGATGGGTAGTGCGGGAGCATATTATGACGATCCCATGATGGGAGCTATGGACTCCGGCGGCAGGGGGACCCATCGAAGCCGGTCTGCAACCGGAGTCCCGCTGAGAAGCTACCACTCAATGGAACGCGACCAGGACCGAGAGTTCATGCCTATCCGGGAGCCCCGTGAAAGATCATTGGACCGCGGTCTAGACTCTGTATCGGCTCGCCACGCGGCCGGCAGGCGAAGCGATCGTGGCTACGGAGCTGATCCGTATCAACACGATTCGCATCACGCCTACCGCGACCTTGAGGGAGACCCCTACGGTGCGCAACATGCATCTCGCATGGGTGCTGCTGTAGGGGGCGTCGGTATGGGCGGCGTTGGCGTAGGTCACGCTTATGACCGAAGCGGCTACGGCCCTGCCGGACCAGCCGGCGCGCGCGGAGGCGACAGCTTCGTCATGGAGTTACAAAGTCGACTGAATGAATTGCAAGCTCAGTATGGCACGGTTAAAAGGGAGCTCGATGCGACCACCCAAAAATTGGGATCATCGATGCATAGCATAAAGACCTTCTGGAGTCCCGAGTTGAAGAAGGAGCGAGCGTTACGCAAGGAAGAAGCAGCCAAATATGCCCTCATCAATGACCAGTTGAAGCTTCTTCGAACCGAGAATCAGGTTAGTGCAGCTTCCGTATTCGACTGATGGTCAAATCTGGGAAATATTCTATTTGTGAATGCTGGCTACGATCTGCTTTCTTAGATTTGTATTTGGCCCTACAGATATATATGCACATAATATTTACAACATATTCTCTTTCCTTAAAGCCCCGCCGAAGTTTGCGTCCAGAATCACCCCTCTGTGCCAGCAATAGCGATGTGTAATAGTAGAAAAAATAGCAATAAGATGCAATAATCTATCGTAGCAAAGGCTCCAACCGACAAATCTACCATGAAGTTCATCTCTAGATTTTTCTTCTCTCTCCCTGGTGCACTTTAATTCCGAAAGGGTGGAACGAGCATAGCGCTTTAACATTATCTAACTGACCCTTGTGTAAGGCCACCTTCTTTCCTAAGATGGTATTTACTGGGTGAAGCTTTACTTGATTATATCGAGTCTGAGCAGACGACTTGAGATCTTTCTCTTATAAATTAAGTAGAACTCGTCTTTTTTGCGACCCCGTGATTAATGACCTTTAATAACCTTCAGATAATCTCCGCTGCTGCAATATACGTAGATTCGTTACTTGACTTAAGTGTTCTCTTCATAGATATATACATATCCCGCCGGATGATGAAGACCTCAATAGTCAAAAAGTCCTAAACGGCTTCAGGTTTAGCAACCGGTCTTAATGGCGCCTACCGACCACATAATCGTACGTATTCGCGGCTATCGTGATCGCTGTCTAAGTGCGCAATACGCATTTGCTTATTGGGTTTATGTGTGATCTAGCGGGTAGCCCACGTGTCCTGTTGGGATGAAACTAAGAGATTTGGAAAACGGAATCGTTTGGCTGTCATCATCTTTATGATCCTTCTTCACTCACCAGCGGGTTACTCATACTAAGTATTCTCATACTCATTATAAGTATTAATTATCAGTTGAATCTGTCAATCAGCTTCGATCATTGTTCTCTGTATCACTGTAAGTATTACCACTGAGCCCCTGCGAGATATATGGCTATGTTTTTGACAAAGACAAGCAATGTCAGAAATTATATGGGTATCCTTCTATTATGCAGTGACTAGAATATATTTGTCTCCAACAAGCTATCGATTGAACCCATCTATGTGAGTGGCCCATCTAGCCGTTAGGCAGCGTTACATGGGCCTCTAGTGATTCCGAGCAAAAAAATGATTCATTTAACTACGCTAAAGGAAACCGTTCTTCTTAGAAAGGAGGTGTGATTATGAGTTGAAAAGCCGACGTCTTTTCATAGTGCCAAGATAGGTGAATATAGTTTGTCTATCATAAATTTAGATGAAACAGTAGGAGGGATTCAGTTCTTGAATGGTCCAATTAGTGAACTATTCGTTAAGAAGTTGCGGTTTGTTCAAGCAGCAGTGCCAATGTTTTCCAAAGCAAAAAAAAAAAAGAAAAAAAAAACATCGTGCCTATGCGTAATTCTGGCGTAGATAGTTAATGTTGAGCTGTAGTGATAAGTATCCGCAATGCAGTACATACCTAGACAATATCGTTTTATCTGAACGATCCGTTATAGCTACTTTCAAAGGAAACCATATGCTGTTCATAAACACAACTTCTACTATAGCGAGTAGGAACTACGATGTCTTGATATATACATATATAATCTATGATGTGCTCTCAACCTTCCTTCAAGTGGCCTTAATTTCTCTACTAGATTAGCATCAATTAGGCTCAAAATCGGCCGCCAAGTCGGCCATTTAGTATAATTTCATGTAATGATTTTCATAAAGCTTACTGTATTTCAGCTTAGTTTAACTTTGAAACAGACAAAATTGTATATTTTAATAAGTATATTGGTGATACTAGTTCTGCTCGCGTGCGACAAGAGTAATTTGGATTAAATAATTATCTATTTTTATGTTTACCCCACGTCATAGCAAAATTCTACATATCCTATATGTATCGTCTGCGTATGTAATCCGCATTCGAATATTGTCCTATGTCTGTTTGTTTCACCTATCCGATACACGTATGACAGAGACTTGTACCATTCTATGAAATATAATAATGCTATGAATGTATACATCGTAGACTAACTTGGCCTCCGCAACACATTTTTTTGCGTTCCGTAACATTATAGACCGTTCGGGCGTCAAACGCGTCTATCGATTGAGCAGAAGAATACCCGTGGAGACTGTTCATGAATAAATCAATTTCTCATCTTTTTCCTTTTATTTTAAACAACGCTTTCTTCTAAGCTCTGTTGAGTAAGACCTGGGCGAGGAACCCGGATCCATCGAGGCTAGTTAGAAGGTAGTTCCTTGGTTGCCAAAACGTATCGAGCCACACGAGGTGGTATAAGAAGCTCATTTAGCGCACTCCATTGTGTTTCTTTGGGATTTATATCATTGATTTTTTTACTCAGTTTGGCGCGGTCAAACTCTGCATTTATTATTTCGCCGTGTTTTTCAAGCTTCACCAGCTCAGGGCCTTTCTAGATCTCATGAAATCCTATGAGGTATTGTGTTGACACTTACGTAGTATGTATCTATTCTTTCTTATGTCCTTGAAGGTTGTTGCAAAGCATCCTTCGCTCGTTTTGAGTATCTATCTTGTGAAACATCACTTCTAATTCTACCATACGAGCAATGGCATGAATATGGTCAAGCGTTGGCAAATGGTGTTTTCAGAAGGCAGAAATGGAATCCTTTGCCTTGTTCTTAACATTCCTGTTTCTGCATGACGGCGGCCCGTGATAGTGATGTACTGACAGCTATATGTGAGCCCGGAGAGGTCTTAAGGTGATTAGACCGAATTTTCATGCACTGAAAAAAGAAGCAATTGATCGTCATTTTTCTTCGGCTATTGCGCGAAGCCCATTCGTGCTTTCCATGGAGATTCTAAAACGCTAACACCCGTTTCAACTGACGATACCAAATGCTGCTGCGCATTGGTCATCGATCTCTGTTCGTCCTAATCTTCGTTGAGTTCACCACAGATTTTCCCCGGGGCAGAAGTAGTTAAGACGGCAGTAGGTAAGCAAATACAGCCTTTCTGTTACGCAAGTTATCGTATAGAAAACTCTACAAACAATCTGAGGTAAATTGAAAACAACTTTCAGTTTCCTCTTCAATCAAGACTAAATAATTGAATACCCGACATTGCTTTCTTTTCTACTTACTTTCTGAGAGTGAGGCAATATCTAATATTCAGCCGAAATGTATACCTAACTTTATGATATATTTACCCATCATTCCTCTTTCTGTAAAATATTACATTACAAATCACTGCTATTGATTAATACTGTTATCGTACATACATATCTCACGGTTTGGCTTAGTTTTTCTCTTATTTTCTGTTTTCTCGCATACAATATTCCATAAACCTGACGAATGTTGGTTTCCCAGTTTAATCTGCGCCATCAACTACATACGAAGATGAGGATCCTTTATTACTTGCCAACAGTTTGTTCTGGGTATTCTCTTACAAGTTCGTCGCAACCACGCCTACGACCATAACACAGCTCACAGTGGCCTCGTGGGCTCAATGCGAGCTTATCTAAGGGTAGTTCACCGAGAATAACGTCATTGCAACGTGTTTCGAAAGAGACCAAACAATGCAATTGCAGGACTGACGATCAGCAGGACAGAAAGCGACGGAACTAGGCCGTCTGGTTGGACCGCAGACTAAATGCTGGTCGTGACAGGCGGCCAGTCAAATAGTCGTTTGCTTCAAATTCACTCATGCTATTATCGAAATTACGCAATTTTAAACCCTTTTAGCGTCGGTACTCCTACACCCGCGACCACACAACAGAGATTTATGCTAATTCTCTGTTCAATGCGAAGGGTGTTAATAGAGAAATGCTCCCAGAATGTGTGTTCTTATGACAATTTTGTTTGTATGTTCTATATAATTCGAGTCGCGTTTCTCGTGCTCAGTTTCGTATGCTAATGTCAAGCTATCCAAGCAGTATAAGTGCATGCAAGGCTAAAAAAACAAAAGTTGTAAGGGATTTTTGGAAGCTATTGGGGTTGCAGGTCAGTTCCGAATTGTACCTCATCATAAAAAAGGACAACTAGGACAATGATACAATTATTTGACCTAAAAATATTCTGAAGCAGCTCGTACGTCGCATCTATGTATAGTCATCTTAAATTTCGTAGATGTTATTAATATTAAATCTATTCATTGGACGCTATTACTCGCTACGACTAACGGCGTTATCTGCCAACAGTAGACAAATATTCTAATCCGCTGTGAAATCAGATTATAATAAATATGTAGTCGTGGGCAAAATCATCCTGTGCTTTTTAGTGCAAGTTAGATTGCTAATGTTTTTTGTCTGCATAGTTGGTTCTCACTTCACGTAAAGACGACGCAAATGCTATCTATTGCAAAGCAAACTTTTTTCGCCACGAAGCTAAAAGCCACGAGAGACACCTACAAACTTCTGATACAAAAGATGTCGTTTGGCTTTAGGCTATCATTGATCACCGGCTGACTGACGAGGAGATACCCGCAATTACTGATTTCTTGTCGGAGTCTTGAGCTTATCGCCGATTACTGCAAATTTTCCCTATCTGAATTGTAGTATTAGTTCATTGCCCCCAAATTAGCGTTACCCGTGACGGAAGAGCGGACCAACGTGCAAGCAATGAAGCGATGATTAACAAAAAAAAAGTACCATGCACAACACTTATCTAGGTAGGTAGGCACACTAAGCGAATAGGAACGTTGTAGCTCTACGCTGCCGCAACGATGAAAAGAAAAGCCGTTAACTTGTCGCTCCTTTTGGCGCAGTCGGTTAGGAGATTTTCCTCAGCCCTGCAGTACTACCCAGACAGTGTAGCTTAGCTCCTATTGTGCCAGAGCGCGGAAATCGATGTAACTTAGAGCCGGAATCGCGGGCGACTCCTGATTACTGAAGGTCGGAAACATAATTTGCATCTAAACTGTTCGCGTTTACCGGAACCGTTCACTCGTTCTCCCTTCGCCTCTGAAAATTTCTTCGTCTCGTCCGTTGGGCT